AGCAGCAGCAGCAGGAGGAGTAGTAGTAGTAGTATTAGTAGTAGTATCAGTAGTAGTAGTAGTAGTAGTAGTAGTAGCAGTAGCAGTAGCAGTAGCAGTGGCAGCAGCAGCGGCAGCAGTAGTAGTAGTAGTAGTAGTAGTAGCAGTAGCAGTAGCAGTAGTAGTAGTAGTAGTAGTAGTAGTAGCAGAAGCAGTAGCAGCAGCAGTAGTAGCAGTAGTAACAGTAGCAGCAGTAGTAGCAGTAGCAGCAGCAGAGCAGTAGTAGGAGTAGTGTAGGAGGAGGAGGAGGAGGAGCAGCAGAAGCAGAAGACTTCACGACAAGCATTCAATGATGCCTCGCTCAAGGTTCTAGATAGACCTGGGATGGGATCTGTGCGGCTGAGGCTCCAGAAGTTGTACCGCCGATTCTTGATGAGCTCGATGAAAGTGATTAGCAGCCCCCATGGGTGCGGCCTGCAGGCTGCAACGGTTCATGTTTAGGGTTTAGGATTTAGGGTTCGGGAAGTCAGGTCAAACAGCAGAATAACGTCTACGCAGTCAGTCCTGCGAGGAACCACCATGCAAGACTCTGAAGGAGGAATTCCCGACACGTCAATTTCCAAACGGCACTGCGGGCGGGCCGGTGCACGATGAGCCGCTCCAGGAGCACACGAGTGATCTGTTCCCGCACCTGCATGCGAAGCATGCGAAGGCCCCTCAGAGTTTTGCAGTCTATGTGGTCCAATGCTCCAAAACCTAAACCCTATATAAGCCCTAAAACCCTAAACCCATCGAAACCCTAAACCCTAAACTCCCCAAGACATTGAGTCTTGATGTCCAGAAGCAGCGGAGAGGTGAGTAATTCGTGTCGGCTGGTTGGCCCGGTGAGGCTACCCGAGCCCTACCTATAGTCTCCAATGTAGTTTCTTTTTTGGTTTTACCAAATGTACATATTAAGGATCCTAAAAGGTAACCCCAAAAAGGAACTACAATGATAGGTAGTCCCTGAGACGAAAACTCCAAGCGACCTCGGGAATTGTCGTGTCGTGGAAAAGCCAGAGCACGATGCAGCCTCGGGCGATTAGTCAGTTAGGGCTTCGGCACCGGAGCTTGGGGAGTTTTGGGGTTATAGGATTTTTGAGGCTTCATGGCTTTATGGGCGCCAGGGTTTCGTTGGTGCCGAAACTCTGGGCTTTTGGGGCTCTAGGCTTTGTGAAAGGGTGCAAGGAGCAGCGGTTTCGGAGCTTTTCACAGGTAGGCAGCTAGGGTTTAGGATAATTCGTGGGATCTCAAATGGGAGTTTCCGCAAATATGGGGTACCTTATTTTGGGGATCCTTAAAATCAGGATCCTACTATTCAGGGTACTATATTAGGGTCCCCTATGTTCGGAAACCCCCAAATGACTATGGCATGGTAGGCGCGTGCCAGTTTAGGAGAGCTGGAGCACGAAGCTTCAGGAAGGACTTTGTAGGGATTATGAATAGAATGGCTCGGGATGCAGGGTGCTGGGAGAGTTGAACGGGGAGTAGGGTTTAGGGTTTAGGGTGAGAAGCAATATGCTCATCTCGGTTTCAAGTTGTGACAGTTGTGGTTCACTCCGATGCCACGTCTTCCAGCTGAGCCGCTGAAGCAGTGCGTGTGCTGATTGGGGAACCGCCTCAGCCAAGCAATCCGTTTGGGGTGAGGTTAAGGCCGGCCACTCAGCAAGACTATGCATAGAAAGCATGCAAAAAGATAAAAATGCAGATGGGCTGATGGGCACGTGCACTTGGAAACCGATGACTACAATCCACCGAAACTGAAGCATCGGCCGCGCTACTTCAACCGTCCGAGACCCTGCTCCTGATAGCACTTTAACAACCTGCTTTGCTGATCAAGGGCGCAACATCGAACGTTTCAGCATACACCCCCCCCCCAGGCTTTGCAACAAAAACGCTACACCCCGGTGGTGGTAGCATCGAGCATAACAGGGCCGCCGGCAAGTGGTTGGCGATGGTGGTGAACCTGAGCAGCTCTATGACTCCAGTCAGGATGGCGCACGCCAAACTGCTGAAAAGTTGAGAAAGGCGAAACCTTAACCCCAAAGGGTCTAAGTACCCATATAGTAGGCATGTTGGGCCCCAAAGTACCTACCATATAAGTACTTAGACCCTTTGGAAACCTTCAACCATTGCTCTGACCCTGAAACTTCTCTGGTGTCTGGGATTCTGTGGATAGGATGAGATGCAGCGGACCTCGATGCCCAAACGGGCTACACTGGTCTTCGAAAACGAGTACTTATTGGTACAAATACTGTTGCCATCTCTGCATTTCATCTCATTAGTAACTACCACAATTTGCCATGGCCATGTATTTCACACTTGTTCGTACCAATACCACTGGGACGCCATGAGCGCAACCCAAGAACATTGAACAGCACATGGGTAGCTCTCTAAACTAAGGTCCCTTTTGGGATCCTTTTCATAAGGGTGCCGCACTATGTTGGGGGCCTGAAAAGGGACCCTAATTTAGAG